CCTCCTGCCTCAGCTTCTTGAGTAGCTAGGACTACAGGTGCACGCCACCACACTCAGTGATCTTACCTTTTAAAATATTCTATGTATTTTCATGCAGTAAGATATTATGCAATTAAGAAGCAGTGGAACTTTAATTTATGTACCTTTCTGGGCTTCTAGAAAAGTAGTTGAATCCAATACTTAATCTGGTTGGGGAAAAGGGTTGGGAACCAAGGTCAAGTAATACTTCCAACCTCCCTCATAGGAATTGTGGCAGGAACACTAAACAAAGCACTCTCTAAGCAGGAAATCAAACAGGCATCTTTCACAAGAAAAAAGAGAAGCTAACATTTATTTAGTGTCTTTTATTTATTCGTTTCTTCATTAACAAAAAATTGTCAACTGAAGATTCAGTAATGAATAAGACTAAAAAGGTCTTTACGCCCAAGAAGCTTTCCTTCTAGAGGGAGAAACACACAATAAACAGAAAAACAAGTGAGTAAGATAATTGCATACAATCATGAGTAAACTAGATTTCTAGTCTATTTCAAAGTCATGTAGAGTTGTCTCTTAAAAGTGTTATATTTTACATTTAGGTCTGTGATCTACTTCAAATTAATTTTTATATAAGGTGTGAAGTATAGGTCAAGGTTCTTTTAAACATTTTTTCTTTTTCTTTCTTTTTTTTTTTTTGTGTTGTTGTTTTGTTTTGTTTTTTGTTGTGCTTACAGATATCCAGTTGTTTCAGTATCCTTGTTGACAAGACCTAAACTTTACTGCAATATGCATAAGTGTGAGTTTTCTTTTTCTCTTCTCTTTGTCACCCATGAGATGATTGTGTAAGTTCATATTTTGGAGGCACATCCCTTCTGTAAATACCGAGCAATAAAAGATAAAATACTCATGTGAAAACTGAAAAGGTACAGTCATGCTCAAAAACAAGGTTATAACATTTTCACAATGACAGCATGAACAGAAACACATAATGGTAAGGAAGGGTTGAAGTTATGAACCTTTGGAGTTCTGGGTACAAAAAATGGCAAAGAAAATCAGGAGCTGAACTCCTGAGAGCAGTGGTGTCCATCCAAGGCAGGCATGCTGAATATGGGCTTCCTGCTTCAAATTATGCTCAGGCATTGGGAGCCTTGCTTATAAAGGAAGTTGATGGAAGGCTGAGGTGGAAGGATTGCAGGAGCTCAGCAGGTCGAGGCTGCAGTAGCTGGGAGCGTGCCACTGCCCTCCAGCCTGGGTGACAGAGTGAGACTCCAACTCAAAATAAATAAATAAATAAAGGAAGGAAGGAAGTTGAAATACCCTGTCATCAATCACAGCCTGGGGTTATGGCTTCTAAAAGTATTACACTTAGGTAGGTGGGAGGACATCAACTTCTCCAACAAGTGAGTCACAGCATCCCTTGGTCTAGGCACCATATCAGCAATATCTGTGATACTATCACAAGAAAGTAGCCCCAAGCTGCCAGGCTAAGATCTGAACATGGATGAGTAGTCCCAGGTATGAGGAGAAGGCAAATGAAAACTGATAAGCAGGGAAGGGTAAGGACACACACACACACACACACACACACACACACACACACACACACACACACACACGGTGGGTGGGGGAGAGAAATATTTTTTTAAAACACCAAAAACATTTGAACTACTCAAGAGGAGCATACATTCAATTTTGTAAAACACAGAGAGAAAACTGAATCCACTCCAGACAAAATGAAAATAATAAAGAAATCTAAAAAGTATTTAAAACTAAGTACATTTCAAGTCCTTAAAAAGATAATGGAAAGAATAAAATTAATTTAAAAAATAAGAAAACAGACCAGGCTTGGTGGCTCAGCCTGTAATCCCAGCACTTTGGGAGGCCGAGGTAAATGGATTGCCTGAGCCCAAGGGTTTGAGACCTGCCTGGGCAACTTGATGAGACCTCATCACTACAATAAATCAAAAATTAGCCAGGCGTGGTAGTGCGCACCTGTAATTCCAGCTACTTGGAAGCCTGAGGCAGAAGCATCACCAGGGCCCAGCAGGTCGAGGCTACGGTGGCCGGGAGTGGCCACTGCACTCCAGTCTGAGTGACAGAGTGAGACTTCAACTCAAAAAAAAAAAACAGGCTGGGCTTGGTGGCTCATGTCTATAACCCCAGCACTTTGGCAGGCCTAGGCAGAAGAACTGCTTGAACCCAGGCTGCGGTGAGGTGATCATGCCACTGCACTCCAACCTGGACAACAGAGTGAGACCCCCAACTAAAAGAAAATAATAACAATAAAATAAGCTTAATAAACATACTGAAATAAATAAGAAGCACATATAGGCAACATGAATCAGAAAGATGACATGATATGAAGAATGAAACAGAAATATTAAATATAGAAATAGAATAGTTGACATAGAGAACATAGATGCAATAAATAATGGCTATAGCTGAGAACAAACTACTAAATTGGAAAAGCAGATTGAGTAACTCTTACAGAAACAGGAGAAAACAATTATGAAATAGAAACTATAAATAAAAGTTAAGAGATATGAAATAGAAAATGAGTTACTAATATTCATATAATAAGTGTCTAAGAAAGATACAAAATGAAAATAAATAGTAGAAAATATTTGAGGAAAACCAGAAATAAATCAGAGATAACTTTCTCAGAATTAGGAGGGTTACCTATAATCCTAGCACTTTAGGAAGCTGAGGAGGGAGGATAAGCTCAGGAGTTCAAGAACAGCCTAGGCAACATAGCGAGACCTTATCTCTACAGAAAAAATTAGTCGAGCATGGTGGCATGCATTTGTAGTCCCAGCTACTCAGGAGGCTGAGGTTGAAGGATCACCTAAGCCCAGGAGGTTGGGGCTGCAGTGAGCAGTGATTGTGCCACTACACTCCAGCCTAGGTGACAGAGTGAGACTCCAACTCCAAAAAACAACAACGAAAACAATAAAAAATTTTCCCAAAATTAAATAGAGATGAAAATATCTCCTACTGAAAAGTCTAATGGATGACAAAGAGAAGAGAAAAAGGAAACTCACACTTAACACATATTGCAGTAAAATTTAAGTCTTTTCAACATGTGATATTGAAACAACTGGATATCCACAAGCAAAAAAAAAAAAGAAAAAATGTTTACAAGAACCTTGACCTATACTTCATACCTTATACAAAAATTAATTCGAAACAGATCACACACCTAAATGTAAAATATAACACTTTTAAGAGACAAACCTACATGACCTTGGGTTATGTAAACAGTGCTTAGATATGACATCAAAAGCATGATCCATTAAAGGAAAAAAAACTGATAAATTCGACTTCATCAAAATTTAAACTTTTGCTCTGTGAAAGACATGGCTAAAAAGAAAAGATAAGTCACAAACTGGAAAAATATATATGCTGGTCACATATCTGATAAAGGACTTGTATCCAAAATATATAAAGAACTCCAAACACAATAAAAGTATAAAAAACAATTCAATTAGACAATGGGCAAAAGACTTGAACAACATATTTCACCAGAGAAGTTATAATGCCATAAATAAGCATGTGAAAAGATGCTCAATATCATTAGCCATCTGGGTAATGCAAATTAAAACCACAATGAGTTATTACTATAAACCTATTAGAACAGCTAAAATAAAAATAGTGGTAAAACCAAAAGTTAATGAAGATGCAGAGAAACTGGATCTCTCATAGATAGCTGGTGGGAAAATAAAAAGGTACAGTCACTCTGGAAAACAGTGAGTGTCTTATAAAACTTAGCAGGCACTTACCAACAACCCAGAAGTCACATTCTTGGACTTTTATCCCAGAGATATGAAAATCTCACACACAAAAATCTGCATTCAAATATTTATAGAAGGTTTATTCATAAATAATCGAAAATGGAAACACCCATATATTCTTCAATGAGTGAATGATTGAACAAACTCTAGTACATCCTTACAACAGAATGCTTCTCAGCAATAAAAAGAAATGAATTACTGACACATACAACAACCTAAGTATACCTCAAGAGCATTACACTGAGTGAAAATGATTCCATCTTAAAAGGTTACATATAGTCTGGTTCCATTTATATAACATTCTAAAAATAACAACAACAACAAAAAAACACAATAAAAATGAAGAAAAGATTAGTTGTTGCCAGGGAAGGGAGTTAGGGGTTGAGTAAGTAGCATGAAGGACTTTTATGGGGATGGAACAGTTTATATATCTTGATTGTGGTACTGATTTCACATATCTACACATGGAATAAAACTGCACAGAACCACATACACAAGCACACAAATACAAGTTAAAAAATTGAATACTGAATTGAAAAACTGAACACTAAACAAAATCTGTAGTCTAATTAGCAATAACAAGCAATGTCCATTTCCTGGCTTTGAGACTGCACTATAGCTATTTAAGATGTCAACAACAGAAAAACTGAGAGAAGGGTACATGGGACTCTAAGTACTATTTTTGCAACTTCCTGTGAATCTACAATTTTTTTTAAGTGAGTAGAAAAAAAAGACTACTCAGTAAATTAAATATTGCCTATCCATAGGGGTACAAATAAAATAAGAGGTCTATCTTACACTATATAGTAAAGTTCTAAAGAACTATAAGTACCTCAACACTTAGAAGAAGTAAGAGATTTTTATTATATGAGGATAAAAAAGAATTTAAGATTTTTTAAAAGCACAAATCATAAAAGAAAACTTTATTCAAATTTAATACTCTGTATAACAAAAGACACCAAAAACAAAATTAAAAGACAAGCAGTTTCTTTTAGAACACATAGCTGCAAAAGGCAAAACAAGAACACAAAAATAAAACTAAAACCAGATTGTCCCCTAGAGCCTCCTGAAAGGAACACAGGCACTGCAGAATCCTTGATTTTAGCCCCCATGACACCTGGGTCAGACTTCTAACCCACAGAACTATTAACATAATAAATATATGTTATTTTAAGGCACAAATTTTGTGGTAATTTGTTTCAGCAGCAATAGAAAACTATGACAATGACTTGCCTCTGTCGATTTCCATGCGTGCATTTCCAGTGGAAGTGCTTCCTGGGACAGCACAGTTCCTGTGGGCAACTGAATGTCTTGGCACTGCTCTTGTTTCAGTCCCGCCTTGGAAGTGTTTTCTGTCAACAACATAAAGCTAAGATTTTACTTTGGCAAAAACAGTAATGTTTTTATATTAGTTCACAATTTTCAAATTAATCATTTCTGAGGATTCATTTTGCCTGCTAAATATATATCATCTGCCAGTGGTAACATATGAGTATTGATCATTTTAATATACCATTTTATAATAACAGACAAGTTCAGATTGATTTTGAAAATACAACTTAAAGTCTAGCCCTTTCCCACATCAACGACTCTGTAATAGTTTTATTATTTGAAACATTTTTTAAAAATAAAGAATAGAATATAGAATTTGAAAATCTGAAAACTATTTAAATGAAATTTTAGAAAAGCAAAAACAACTATAATTATTCTATTTAATATTTGAAAGAACTTTATTACTACAGTCTGAATTCTGTGTATTTCTAAGAGAAACTAATCAGAAATGTATAGATTATTTGATAAAAGAACTTAACACAATTTTTAACTTTTAACACAATTTTATGTTTAATTTGAACATAAAGGAAATATGCCAATGAAAATAAACTGATATTTCTGCTTATTTATTTTTGCTAAATTTAATGTTTTTACAGTCTTACTATAATTTCCTTCCTATGTTAATTACTATCATCCATCTTAATATGGCACATCTTTCCAAGGCATAAGAACCTCTAAGGTACCTGCATGCTGCCTACGTATGTAGTAAATCCTCACTTGTACCCCACAATTCTATAATAAATATATAAATTACAAAATAAGTAAATAAAAATAAAAAGTGATCAGAAGTTATAAAAAAAAAGAACCTCTAAGGCATCAAACAATAGTTAATGCCTAGTATAGCAGAAGCTTCCTTTAATCAAGTCATGAAAAACTCAAGGTAGGGCCTCAAGGTTTGTCCTGTCTCACACATATTTCTTTTATTGGCAAAGCATGGCTTAAGTAACAAAACATTTTGGTCCATATTGGGACGTTTGGTATTCAGATATTTTACAGTATGGGGCAGCAGGACAGTTGGCAAGTTTCATTTAATATCCTTTTGCTTTTCATCTTACAACTATTGTCAAAGAATTCATCATTTTTTTTAATATTTTTTTTTTATTTTAAAATTGTGGGGTACAGTTAAGGGTTAGGTATACAAATATTCATTGTGCAGGTATCCTTATCGATGAGGTGTGCCCCCCCTTCCCCATATAGATATTGACTACCATTAATTCCACCTCCCTGCCCCTCCCTGCCCCCCATAGTTTCCTGCCACTATCAGTTCTTCTCTTATAGTATTACGGTAGTTGTTCAAGGTTCACTTATGAGTGAGAACATGTGATACTCAGATCTTTGTTTCTGTAAGAGATCACTCAGTATTATAAACTCTAATTCCATTCAGGTCGCTGCAAAATTCATTATTTTGTTCTTTTTTATGGCTGTGTAATATTCCATTATGTATATGTACCACATTTTTTTAATCCAGTCCTCTTTTGATGGACAGTATGGTTGGTTCCATGATCTTGCTATTGTGAACAATGCTGTGATAAACATATGTATGCAGGAATCTTTTTTATAGAGTGATTTGAGTTCTTCAGGGTATATTCCCAGTAGGGGGATTGTGGGGTCATATGGAAGGCCGATTTTTAGAGCTTTTAGGAATCACCACACTGATTTCCACAGAAGCTGTACTAGTTTACACTCCCACCAACAGTGTAGAAGTGCTCCCTTTTCGCCACATCCTCTCCAGCATCTGTTATTTTTTGAGTTATTGGCCATTCTGACTGGAGTTAGGTGGTATCTCAGTATAGTTTTAATTTGTACCTCCTTGATGACTAGTGAGGTTGAACATTTCTTCATGTATCTGTTGGCCACTCGTATGTCTTCTTTGAGAAGTGTCTGTTCGTATCTTTTGCCCATTTTTTATTGAAGTTGTTTGTTTTTTTCTTTTCAGCACGTTTGAGTTCCTTGTTGATCCTTGATGTTAGGCCTTTGTCAGACATGGAGTTGGCAAATACTTTTTCCCAGTCTGTGGGCTGTTTCCCTGCTCTCTTGATGGTTTCTTTGGCTTTGCAGAAGCTTGTCAGTTTAATGAGGCCCCACTTGTCTATCTTATCTCTTATGGCCTGTGCATTTGGGTTTTGCTCAGGAATTGGATAACAGTTTCAACTTCCATAAGGGTGGGTCCTGCATTTTCTAAAGTTCTTATGGCTTGGCATCTTCCTAACCAGAGACATGAAAGACCTTTAAGATGAAAACTACAAAACACAGCTCAAAGAAATCAAAGATGACACAAACAAGTAGAAAAATATCCCATGCTCATGGATTGGAAGAATCAACATTGTTAAGATGTCCATCTTATCTAAGGCAATCTACGATTTAATGCAATACCCATCAAATTACCAGCAACATTCCTCTCAGATCTAGAAAAAACAGTACAGGAATTCATATGGAAACACAAACGACCAAGAATAGCCAGAACAATCCTCAGCCAAAAAAAAAAAAACCAAAGCAGGAGGTATCACACTACCAGACTTTAAACTTTATTATAAACCTACAATAATCAAAACAACCTGGTATTGGTACAAGAACCAGCATATAGACCAATGGAATAGAATTGAGATTCCAGAAGCAAAACCTCAATTTCTCAACCAATTCATCTTCGACAAAGCCTCCACCACCCAAGACTGGGGAGAGGAGAACCTATTCAGTAAATGGTGCTGGGAAAACTGGCTGACCATGTGCAGAAGATTCAAACAGAACCCCTCTCTATCTCCATATACAAAAATTAACTCAAAATGGATCAGAGACCTAAATGTAAAACCTCAAATCAGAATTCATCATTCCTAAGGACAGGTCTCCTGAGAGCAAAGCAAAGAAAAAGCATGGGAGGCAGCGTCGCCTTATGTCATCAGTACAACACTCTCATGACAAGAATCTAAGACTTCACTATCCATCTTAGAAAAAGAATGCAGGAGTATGAAGACAATCAAAGCTACATTTATTTATACATTTATTTAAATAAAGTAAAATATTTTCTGAAAAAAACCTTAAATCTAGTTATTTTGACAATGAGAGTTGGCTTTGCCAACTAGGTTATATGGTACATATTTTTCAAAAATTAAATAAACCAAACCTATGGCTCAGAAGAGCTGAAAATATATTTAAAACACATGATATAATAAAACTATTTTCTCAAAAAATTGTGCTGACAGGTATATTCCAATTAATATTTTGATTTTCCCATACTTTCTGGGTATATTGGGGTAAGATAAAATATAATAGATTTAATTAATAGTTCTTTGATAAATTTTAGGGTATTGTTTGCAGAACAATATTTTTGGGTATTGTTTGCAGAAATTGAGAAAATAAATTACTCCTAATGACTGCTAACAAATCTTTTCCTAAGTAGAATATATCCAATTCTTTGCTTTCAATAGCATTGAAGAAAGACCTAATTGAGCTAACAGCCAAGAAGAGATGAAAAATATTTTAATAATAAATCACTATATAACTTTTGGCAAACTACTTGGAAGGAATTCATAGAATTGATTGGCATTACCATAATAAAGTACCTTCTAGTCACACCTACAATTCAGGTGAACAAGTTTTCTCAGCATTTACATTTATAAAAATGTAAAACATAAACAGAACTTATGTTGAACCCTCATGTATCTAGCAGTAAGTAATACTGACATGTGGGTAAATGAGTAGTCCTGTATATTTCATAAAAGCATGTATTTTCAATAAAATTATATTCTTTGATAAGTATTCATAAAAATTTATAATGCATTTGTGTTTTTTATTGTGTACTAACAACAATTTTAATAAGTCAATGTTAGGAGAAATATTAAAATCTTTGCTCACAGAAAATGTTTTAAAATAATTTCAACTTGTATTCATATTGGATGTAGAGATTTTCAAGCATAAAAATACCTTATATTAGGCTAAAATTCTATGAGAGATATGAAATACAAACATGACTTCAAGAGGAAAAGAGAATAATGTAAAATTTCCAACAGTTAAAGATTTCATGTATTTTTTTTTCAAATGAATGACTACAGGTATCAAACACATGCAATTTAGATTCCTTAGATACATTTAAAATACTGATATGACTGTTTTGATTTTTTTCCTTTGGTATTTAATGTCAATACTTACAATGTGTCAATTATGTATACTTATAAAATTTCACATGTCAACTTAAAAATGTATGAGTAAGCACATAATTTTTCAAAATTATTTTAGGGGTTAGGCAAGAAAAATATCTTGAAAAACAATTATACAAGACATGGTCTTTACTTCCAAAAAGGTTATAGTCTGACTAGGTAGATAAGTCAAACATATAGGCTTATAGAGAACAATTACATGCAAAACTTTCCTGAATTAAATAACTTTAGGAATGGATAATCTAAGGGGGAAAAAAAACGCAATGAGAACTACAGTAACCAGAAAGAGCCTCAAACAGGAAGTAAAATTTGAGCAAAATTTTGAAGGATGGCTAGGATGTCAATAAATGTCGAAGAGAGAAATTATTCCCAGCAGAAGGAACTATGTGGGCAAAAGAAGCAAGTATGGCAGATGCCAGACAGAGTGAAAAAGAATTTTTTATCTATGGGGTTGTAGTTTTTCATTTTGTTGTAACTTCACATAAAAATGAATCATTAAAATGAGCTTATTTTGGGTCTTGGAGATTTTTTTTTTTTTTTTGATGTTACCATTATTCTGGATTTTTAAAAAAATTTTATTTTAGAGATGTGGCATAAAAGTAAGGATTACTACACAAGTAGGCTTCATGCAGGTGAAGTTTGGGCCTCCAGTGGGTCCTCATTTCTCCTGGTTGGGACCAGGTACCCTTTATGTTATGGGGTTGGAGATTTTATAATTAATACTGGCAAACAGTGGTGACTTGGGGCTTAGGTCACCTATCTACTTTCATTGGATTTAATCAAGACAATAGTATCACTCCAGCATTCAGCAATTAAATTATCTTTGAAATGATATGGGCTTAGGTTTTAGACATCACAGAAGAGGATTA